CGGGTGCGCCGGGCCTTGCAGCCGCCGTGCGCCCGGTGGGCCTCCAGTCCCCCGGCCGGCGCCGCGCGCGGGCCGCAACCGCCCCTCGGGCAGGCCCTGGCGCCTCTGCTGGGGCTGCACCCTCCGCCGGGTCCCCGCGCCGCCTTCGCCCTTCATCCATCCCTCTCTCCTGCAGTGCTTGCGCTCCAGGCCCGAAAGAAAAGGACCAAGGCCAAGAAGGACAAAGCCCAGAGGAAGTGAGTCTTGTGCCCCCCAACATCCCCCGCTGTCCTTCGGTTCTCCTCGGGGAACCTCTGCCCGGGGTACATGCCTCGGGCGTGCGTGCACTGGGTTCGGGGCGCCTCACCCCCTCTTCCTCAACTCGCGGCCACATGGCCTCTTGGGGCTGCCCTTCGGGAACCATGTGGAAGGAATGGGAGCCTCAGTGGTGGAACGCCAGGCTTGGGGTCCTTGCAGCTCCCAGGCCTGCTGGGAAAAAAGTGAAAAAAGAAGGGCGGATGCAGGAAGACCCAGAGCCTTGCCCAGCACCTCTCCCCCAGTTCTGCCGAGGACGCAGCGGCTTCCCCAGTGTGTGCGTCCCCGGCCGGGGTAGGTCGGTCCCGACCGGTGTGTCTGTGAACTCCGCTCCTCCTCTGCATCCCAGCGACTTAACTTGCCTCCCACGTCTGTCTGCGCGGTAGGCCGTCAGGAAATTCTTGAATGAATTTTCCGTGTTTACTCTCGGCTTCTGCCAACCAACACACTCCGTTTGATAGAGAAGGGAGGCTTGGAAACCACCCCCCACGCCCGCCCTCCCCATCCCCCTCAGTCCACTTCCGGAGCCTGCCAACAGAAGCGCTTCGCTTTCCTTTTTGCTGTGTGCGAGGCAGACCACGCTGTGCACTGTCGGCTCCACTTGAGTTGTGCGGGGCCTGGGGCTGAATGGAGTGTGAACGCAGTAATGTTTGGGTAGATTTTTCAGCCGCCGGGTTGGTGGATCAAGTGCCACACTGCAGTTGAACGGCGGTGCTTTAGCGTTATTGTGGGCAACAAAAAAAGTTGATCAGAGACAGATAGAGACGCCCCCCGGTGGAGGGCTTCTGCAAATGAGGCTCAGCTTTAAGCACTGACTTGCATCAACGTTGAGTCGCAAAGACTCTTGGGGATCAGCTTTTAAAGTTCTCCGCCTAACTCTTCGTTTCAGGTGCGTTGGTTTCCGTAGTTTTCCATTTGTCTGATGTTTTGTGGTGCTTCTGTGCCGTCCGGTTCTGTCTGAGCTGATGTAACATGGAGCAGAGAGGTCACCCTGGGTCACCTTAGTGAATGACAGTGCCTGATAGGGGTGGGCGGTGACAGTACCTGATAGGGGTGGGCGGGGGTGTTGATTTTGGAGACTACCTAATGACTTCCCTCTTCTAATAGAACCAGAGTGGCAGGTGACTTCACCTCTTGTTCCATTTTCTATTACCTCTTATGAAAGTTTTGTTTTGTTAGCACTTGACCAAGGTTTGTGTGTCTGTTTACCTCTTGACTGTCTGTAGTTGGACTATACAAAACTAGTTTTTAATCCTACATTGGTTGGTTTAATGGAAACAGCAAGGAGCTAACCCAGTTCTAGTTTGGCAGTAAGAATTTAAATGTTTTTTTTTTCCTGTGCTTTATTTTGAAAATTCCTTAAGGGAAAGACATTTTGATACAAGGTAATGCTATTATTAATCACTTTAATTTATTTTGAGACAGGGTATCTATAGGTAGTCTAAGTTGGCCTTGAACTTGCAATGATCCTCCTGCCTCAGCCTCCTGAATGATGGGATTACAGACCTTGGCCACTACATCCAGCTGGCTAATCAGTTGTGTTTTTTAGAAGCTTTATCCCTAGGTCTTCCTGGTCACACATAACACTTGGAATTGTATCTTGGAATCAAACTGTCATTTGGTGAGTGAATGCTTGTGACTGCCATGGACTTCAACAGTGGTGCTCCTGACTTTGGATTATGCATGAAGGACATGTACTTTTTTTTTTTTTTTTTTTTTTTACATTTATTTATTGGGTATGGGTGCTATGGTTCAAGTAGCCGGATCAGAGGACAATTTTGAGGAGTCTCTTCTCTCCTACCATGTGGGTTCCAGGAGTTGAACCCAGGTCATCAGGCTTGGTGGCAAGAACCCTTACCTACTGAGCCATTTTGCTGGCCCACATATACTTTGTTTTTACAGCCAGGCGTATCTGCTTTGTACTGTCACTCCTCTGTTTGTTACTGTAGGTAACTTAGAGTTGTCTGTGTTCATTTTTTTCTTTTTTCTTTTTTTTTTTTTTTTTTTTTTTTTTTCATACAGTTTCTCCCTGTAGCCCCATCTAGTCTGGAACTTGCCATGTAGACCAAACTGACCTCAGTCTCCCAGAGATCTGCCTACTTCTGCCTCCGAGTGCTGGGATTAAAAGTGCATGCCACCACACCTGGTGTCTGTTTGTAATTTCCATACTTGCCCTTTTGTGTTAGCGTGGATTACAGATCTTACTTCATTTTGTTCACCTCTGGCTTCTGAAGGGGTAGTGAGTGAATTGCTCCCTTTGCTTCTGGTCACGCACGTTCTTGTTTCCAGCTCAGTTAATAGCTTTTAATTTTAGTAGTTTTCTTTATTTCATCCCCCTTCTCCCTCTTGTTTCTTCATCCTTCTTTCTAGTAGCTGAAATGCCTAATTCATTTGTTTGGAGTACTGTGTCAGAAGTTCAGGCTGTTCTGGACCAGGTAACTTGACTCTGCTCTGAGACTGCTGACTGCACTCCTGATAGCTTTGGTACTTTGCATAGGCGAGCTACTAGTTGCCAGGAAGAAGGTCTGAAAAAGAAGCATGTCAGTTTGGTCTTTGGAGTAAGGCAGCTCTAGGTTTGCTGTGAGTTAATCTGACCTTGGGCAAAGTTAGTTAAGCAGTTTTACATACTTTATGACAGGTAGCCCATAGTCAAAAGTGGTCAGGACTGAGCAGAACAAAAAGAAAGTTTCACATAAAGGTTAGACTCTTCTGCAAGTGTGCAGTGGTAAATAGTACCCTTCCTAACTCAGTCATGGTGTAGTCCTGATGCCCTGGTATGTATAAAACTAAAACCCACCTACTTGGAGTAATGTGTCAGGAGGTCCTGGAGCTGGGGGCCTCCAAGCACTGTTCTTTAGGATGCTTCCCTTCGATTCCTTGTGCTGAAAGATACAACTTTAGGGGATTTTACTTTGCCTTATTGAACAGTTCTTCTCCACTCTACCTTAATGTATTCACATTAACTAATTAGTGATGGATCCCCCTTTTACTTATAGGAAATGGAAATTTGTCAGATTGCCCCTCTAGAGCTACTGTAAAGCGAAAATTTGGACCCAGGTCTGACTTGCTCGATGGCCACAGCAAGAATTGGATGACAATTTTCTTTTTATTATTATGTGTATGAGCGTCTTGCCTGTGAGTATGTTAAGTACACCTGTGTCATACAGAGCCCACAGAGGCCAGAAGAGGGCATCAGATCCCCTGGACCTGGAGTTAGAAACAGTTGTTAGCTGCCATGTGGGTGCTGGGAACCAAACACAGGTCCTCTGCAAAGAGCAGCCAGTGCTCTTAACCATTGAGCATTTCTCCAGCCCAACAGTTCTTGTTGAGGTGTCTGGGTAGATTAGGTGGAGCCTGTGAGAAGTGGTTTCCCAGCGAACCCCTGTGCAGCCCTGGTGCAGTTTCTTCCTTTGAGCGTTTGGCCTTCAGAACATGTATCAGCAGCTTTTATCTGTTGCCGTGAGCTTTTTCGAGTCCAGTTTATAGCTGCTTTTGAAATGGTATGGATTTCCTTTCTGTGTCATTACTTAGGTGGTCAGTTTGGAAGAAGTTCTCAATTTATTTTGCAGTTAAATATGTTATAGGTGTTATACAAATTGGGTTTCAAGATTGAACTGGGAAAATACTGGTAAGGGAAGTAGAGACTGGTTTCATTTCTTAGTTTTGCATTGAAAATTTAGAAGGGAAAGCTGCTTAAAAATTTCTAATTACTGGGGCTAGTGAGATGGCTCAACAGTTAAGAGCACTGGCTGCTCTTGCAGAAGACCCAGGTTCAGTTCCCAGCACCCACATGATGGCTAACAACTGTCTTGCAACTCCAGTTCCAGGGCAATCCAATGCCGCCTTCTGACCTCTGCAAGCATTGCAGCCAGTGCTCTTACCCACTGACCCATCCGGCCCTTAAATGTGTCCTTTTAAAGTCCCATCTCAAGAACCCTTTTCAGAAATATTTTCCTCCTCAGCAAGTTTGTATATTAGCACATTTTGCTTTTATAAGTGCCTCTCTAGTGAGGCCCAGGCTTGCCCAAATGACTTGAAACCAGCAACTTGTTAAGTGTGTAATAAAACTGGGTGCTGAAAGTTCCCCTGCTAAAAGGGAAGCCTGGACAGGTGATCAGCTTAGAATCAAATTACGTTTTGTGGAGTAACTGGCAGGTTACCGCCCCACTCTCTAGTCACTTGCTTGTACTCCCCAAGTCTTCCTTACCACTGAGTTCTTTAAGTTTTTTTGTTTCCGTTTTCTTTTTTGAGATAGGGTCTTAATATGTAACCCTAACTGGCCTGGAACTCTCACAGATCTGCCTGCCTCTGCCTCTCAAGTTTTGGGATTAAAGGCGTACACCGCCATGCCTAGTTTACCAGTAAGTTCATGTTTATACTGAACAACTGATTGGTTTTCACACTTCTCTTACTGTATTCAAAGTCATTCCGAGTAAGGAATACTGAGATAATTAGCAGAGCCATTTAGAGCTCTTCCCGGTATTGTGCAGATAACGACCTAGAAGAATAAGCCTTGTGAGTTGGAGGTCAGCTTGGCCTGTAAATACAGTAACACCCCCCCCAACCCAGCCCCACACACTGAATAAACAAATCTTCATTGTGGAGAATCACACAGATAGAGAAAGGTGGAGAAGAGGGTAAATAAAGTTCTTTGTCCGTCCTGCAGCACAAGTAGTGAGAGGACTGGTGTGATGGAGCACTTGCCTAGCATACAAGAGGCCTTGTTCAATCCCCAGTACCACAGAAGATAAACAAAAGTGTGCCAGAGGTCAACATCTGATGTCTTCTGTTATCCATCTCCACCCTCTTTTTGAGTCAGGGTCTTTCACTGAACTTGTAGCACATTCACTGGCTACACTGGCTGGCCAGTGAGCACCTAGGATCCTCCTGTCTCAGTCCCTAGTTGCCCCCACCCTACCCCCCTGCAGGGATTACAGACCTGTGCTTGGGTTTTTCATGACCACTAGGGTTCCCAAATGAGGTCCTCATGTTTGTACAGCAAGTGCTTTACTCACTGAGCCACCTCCCTCCCGTGGTCTGGGATATTGATGATGTAGTTTTTATTGATTGCCTTCTCTTGGGCCAGTTGATTTCATGATGAGTCCTGCACCTTTTTTGGGGGGCACCGTTTGGCTTCCAGTCTGCAGTCTGTAATCTCTGCCTTGAAGCTCTTGAGGGGAAGGCTGGGCATCAATGGGCCACTGTCTGAAGCACCTGTTCCAGAGCAGCATGCTCAGTTGTAGAAGAGCATTGAAAAAAGATCAGCTGTAAAAGACCATAGAATTCAGGGGCTGGAGAGATGGCTCAGCAGTTAAGAACATTGAATGTTGTGGGGTCGCTCCCTCTCCTCGTGGGTCGTTGGCCACCGTTCCACGAGGACAAAGGGAGCAGAAGCGATGAGCAGGGTCAGGACGGCCAGTGAGCACTGATGGAAGAAAGCCCTTCTGGGAGGCAGGTTCAGTGATGCAAACAGCTCCAGACTCAGTGACTCAGCTCTAGATTCGGTGAAACAGCTCCGTTTGTTTAGTGGGATGTTAGGGAAAATATAGTGTGGAGGCAGTAGCCAATGCTTCAGCTGATAGGTGCTCACAGTATGCTTTATTTACATGTGGCAGTGGGCTCCTATCATCCAACTATCGGGCAACAATGCCTGATTATCATATAGAAAAAACCTGGGGGTAGTTTTTACTCCAGGTAACTATACCAAAGGTCATGTTTTAAATGAGGCCAAGCATCCATGCTTGGCGGCACTTTCCAGGTAAGTCAGGCAGGAAGCTCTTGCTGAGAAAGGAGCCAACCTTAACAGCAGGGTTCCCCAACAGAATGTCCTTGCAGAAGACCTGGATTCAAATTTTAGCACCCACATGGCAGCTAATAACTGTCTGTAACTCCAGTTCCAGGGGATCTGACGCCCTCTTCTGACCCCCACAGGCATTGCATGACACAGGTACACTTACCTACATGCAGGCAATACGTGCATACACATAAAATAAATATAATAAAATATTTTTATTTTTTTAAAAAAAAGACCATAGAATTCAGTTTTTAAAGAAATTTCATAAGAAATGGTTTTTTTTAAAGTTATGAGAAGCCTTAAAGCTCAGTATGCTTTGTTTTTTAGCAAGGTGTATAGCAAACATTTCCACTAGACAGGAAAGTCAGCTGGAACAGGCTGGTCAGTGGAGGTCCTATTTATTTCAGGATGGAGAGTAGTCTGTACAAGCTGCTGTTGGATAATGAATTGAAAGGTGTGGTAGAATGGTTGCCAAGAAATGTGAGAACATCTAGTATACACTTTGACTACCATGTAAGAATTACCCCAGTAGTGAACAAACATTAAGGCTGTGAAGTTGGGTGTTACTCCCATGAAGGGCTATGTGACTGGCCCTTTGAATTTAGAAGAGCTAGTATTTTTTTTTTTTCTTCATCAGCTTTGTTTATTAAAAATATAGACTGATAGCTCTGTGCTTGAATGACATTGTGGGTGTAGGCTGACTTCCATAAAACAGACTCTTCATAAATACACTACAGACTGAAGTAAAGATGTAAACAGAAATGACTCCTAGGCAGTACCATTTCAAACATAATCTCTTTATAGAGCTTTGAGATTATTTACAATTCCATCAACACTGACAGGCTGAGCATCGCAGGCATAAGGGCACACTATGACCACAAGACATCTTTTTGTACTTCCCAAATAGTTTTATATTTCAGCTACGAAGGTCAGTACCAGTACCAGTCCAACTTGTTCTTAAGTAGAATTTTTATGTCCATTCAGTCTTATACCTTTCTGGGCCAATTCTTTGCAGATAGGAGGAGAAACTGTAACCAGGGTCTTCACATCATGATTTGCATGTGGCTCCCAACCTTCATATGCTGTCCAGCTTCTTTAAGATATATGGAGTGACTCGCAGCAGGGCCACGTAGATGAGGAAATTCAGGATGGAGGAGATCACATCCTCGCGCATCTTCTGCTTCATCTCCTCGGGGTCCAGCTTCGGAGCGAGGCCCTCGATCCGAAACATCGCGGCTGTCTCACCAACTTGCACCAGCAGGACACGGTTCAGCCCGCCACAGCTGCCTCACTCAGAAGAGCTAGTCTTTTAATTAATTAATCAAATTCTAAATTCTTTGTCCTAAGAGTCTTAAGCATTTGAAATAGAACTACCATTCTCTTGTGAGTGGCCTTGTGAACTTTTGTTTCCTGGAATGTGAGGGTGGCCTTTTTCCTGACCCCATAAACCTATGGATAGCTTTGCCTCCACCTGTGCTGCTCCTCATCTTATGGACTTTTAAAAGATGCCCACCAAACAATTTGATCAAAATGCCAGTTCTTTCTATTCCATCAACACATTATCTTTTTGACTATGTGTATGAGTGTTTTGCTTGCATGTATATAAGTGTACCATGTGTAAGCTCTGTCTGTGGAGACCAGAAGAGGGCATCGGATCCCTTGGAACTGGAGTTACAGACAGTTGTTAGCTGCCATGTGGTGCTAGGAACTGAACCCAGGTCCTCTGCAATAGCAGCCAATGCTCTTAATCACTGAGCCATCTCTCCAGCCCTAAAACCTTATTCTTTCGATGCACAGGCCCACATTCCAGCCTGCCTTCATTGGTTTTGTGAAACTTGGACAGTGTCTTTCATATTCTTTGAACCTGGGTTCTTGTCTGTAGTTTGCCTGAGGAGGACCACAGTTCTGAGGACACGGGTGCATGTGAATACCTGGCCTGGCACTGAGCTGGAGTGCCCAGGTCCTTGTGCATTCTTCCACTCCTTAGATGGGTTTATCTTTGACCTTTCATTACTGACATTTCTCATTACTGTCCTTGTATCAGACTAATAGGTCTACTTCAGCTGTCAATGTTTCATATGTACATACACCACACACACACACACACACACACACACAATATCAGGTCTAAAGATCAGGGGTGGGTCACATTTAACTATTTATATATGACTTAAAAACTTTTATGTTTTTTTCTGATACTGCCAAACCCTAGCTCCAGTTCAGGATTTCTGAAAAACTTAAGACTCATTGAGGATGTTCAGATAAAATTAAATATGTAAAGGATTATGTCAGTTCGCCGGAGAATCAAGAAAAATGTATGTGGAAAGGTGGTGGGAGGAATTTAGCATTCACTGTGTGGTGCTAGATCTAAAATAGTATCTTGTTAGATCTTTGCATCAGATCCTCTGGAAGGGACATAGATGCCTAGAACAAGGTGGCCCTCCTTAAGGGGCCTGTGCTATCATAAAGGAGATAAAGTGTACAAATACAATTTTCCCCAGTCTGCCAGAGCAAAGTGCCACAAATTGCGTTGCTTAAACAACAGAAATTTCTCATCTCAGTTCTTTGGGGCAGAATCCAAAAATCAACGTGTGTGTAGGATTGACTCTTTGTGGGACAGGGAGAGAGCCTGGCCTCCTTTAGTTCTGGCAGGAAGTTGTCTTCTCCATCTCTGTACCTTGTCTTCCAGACAATCTATCTTCAACCAGAGTCTCCCTCACCCTGATGACCTCATTTTAATGCCATTACTTGGACTCTCTGTCATTCTCGGGTACTGAGGTTAGGACTCCAACATCGTGGCAAGGTCACAGTTCAAGTCCCATAACAGGCCCCAAAAGACATTAAATCAACAACTCCATATTCCCCAAAGCAGAAAGAATTGACTTGAGTTTAACATGTGGTATAGTTTCTAAGCTTTTAGTTTTTGGGTATTATCTTCAAATCAGCTCCTCTGTCTTGAGTTTCAGTTTTATTTATGGAGCCTCCATTTTGAATGATTCCAGATTAAACTCTGGCACCTCTTTACTTAAATGTCACAATCCTATTAAAATAGTGTGAGCACACTCTTCCTTACCCACTTGTTTTCTTCTATTGCCATCTCTAGCCTGCCATTGTATAAGACCACCATTTCCTGGGGAGACATTGAGTAGGGCCTGATGAGACACTGCTCTTTCCCAGGAGCCTCAATGAGCCTGACCCTGCACCGTGGTTTCAGGTAATTGGGGTTGCTTAGTTTTCTCTCATGCTGGAATGTGAGCACATTCACAGTGCCTTTCCAGTGTCTAGGAAATGCCTGGGAGGCCTGTACACTAGCAAAACTAAGTTGAAATGATTGCTTATTCCTTTTTCTGTTACCTATGTGCATTGCTAAAAGTTGGGTTCAAGCACTGCTTGAGTGTGGGTTTATCATGTCCCCTTAAATTCCCCTGGAGGTAGGTATTATTTCTACCCCCATTTTACATGTGAAGCAAGTTTTGAAATGGTCTCATGTTTCCCACATTGGCCTTGAATTCTGTATAGCTGAGGCTGACCTTGAATTTCTCATCTTCCTGCCACTTCTGAATGCTGGGATTGCAGGTGTACGCCATCATGCCTGGTTTTATGCAGTGCTGAGGATGGAACCCAAGACTGCATTCTAGGCAAGCACTCTACCTACTTCAGCTACATCCTCAGCCCAACAGAGAACTTCTCAAGCCAGGAGTTCACCCAGGAGCACCTAGACAGTCTATGAATCCAGAGACCTTGTGAAGTGCTTATATTAACTCCCTCTGTAGTGCCTCCTGCATCTTTGCTTTTTTCAAAAGTCCTGCTGTTTCACCCAGCTTCTTGCCAAGGACTCTTTTTAAAGTGCTTCTATTGTAGAGCCATTCTGACGATGCCACTTTTTACAGAAGATGCTTCCGTGCTTGGCATTTAAGACTTCTACACATCTGGTTCCATTAGGGGCTTGCTGGAGGCAAAGGTATGGTGCATTTCAGTCGAAGAATGGTGGGTTAACACTGCTTTGTAGGTACTCCTGGTCTAGGCATCTAGGACGTGACAGCCATCAAAGTGAAGTCTTCCCTCTGGAAACTTACATTCTGGGAGTGAGGAGGAGCACAGTAAGATGCTAAGTGTAAGAGGCATGCCAGGGGACATGTGATATATATGGCAAAGGCAGCTGCTTCATACATGCAGGTTAGCTGGCACTCGAAACAGACCTAAAGAGGTCTGTGTTACACAGATGGGTTTGTCTGGCAATGAAGTTAGATTGGATCAGACGTTATGGGCCTTGTGATTGATGACCATCCATTTTGAGTATAGTAACTTCCCAGTGTTTGTGCTTTATTGAGGATAAATCAATCTTTTTAAAGTACAATTTGGGTCAGAGTACATACTTCCTATGCTGCAGGGGTTAGGTCACAAATAGTGCCATCTGGTGGCTATCACCTTAAATGTAGATGTGTGCTGAGCCTTCCAGAAAACCAGCAAGTTCTGCACATTTTGTGTTGCCAGCTCAGTCTTTTTTTTTAGAAAAAAAATTATTTTCATGTATATGAGTGATTTGCCTGCATGCGTGTAAGTGCACCTGTGTCATGTAAAGCCAGAAGAGGGTGTTGGATCCCCAGAACTGGAGTTATGGACAACCATGTGGGTGCTGGGACTCCTAACCGCTGAACCATCTCTCCAGCTCAGCCTTATGAGTTATCTTTGATTAAGCTTCAAACAGAATATCAAATCTCATCTACATAATCACAGTACAATTATAAAAATAGCAAGAAAATATCAGTGCAGTGTTATTTAATCTAAATATTACATTGCCAGTTGTCTAGGTGCTCTTTACAGAAAAGGAAAATGTTGTTGGGACCAGTGTGATGGCTTAGTGTATAAAGGCACTTATACCAGGCTTGATAACCATAGTTCAATCCCCAGAGTACACATGGTAGAGAGAAACAGCTCCTGAAAGTTGTGCTCTGACATCCACTCACATGCCATGGCACACATGTACATGTTCAAAATTACTTGTATTTAGCATTCTGATATGTGAAAAATGGTGTCTCTGTATTTTACATTTCTCTGATTATGATGCCTATAGTTTCCCATGTCCACCCACTGCTGGCATTTTCCGTATCGTCTCTCTGTGCATGTACATTGAAAACACTTCCTGGATCAAGGCCTGTGCTGTCTGCCTTCTGGTCCCAGGCAGTGACTGATCTGCTTTCTGACACTGCAGATCACAGACTGGCATATAACATTGTTTTGTGTTGGACTTCTTTCAGTGAGAAATGATCCTAAGCAGTTCTGTGCTTGGTGTATCCTGGTAGAGTTTAGTCACCCTGATTCACCTTTCTGTCATCCTTTGGGTTGTTTCCTGCTTTGGGCCTTAATAGTAAAATTGGCTACCTGATAATTTTGTTGCAGAACCCCTTGAAAGGAGCAGAGGTCATGACACCAGCCGTCAGCTTGTGTCTGAGAATGACATCCTTTAGTGACCACAGTGCTATCACTATACTGTAAGAATTAATACTAAGTATCCTTTTACGCCAAGAGGGAACGAACCCAAAGGGTTTGTGCATGCTAAGCAGGCACTCAAGTCTTTTAGATTATCTTTATTTTCAGCCTTTGAAGCATGATTCAGGCATTAAATTTGGTCCTATGTGTTTCGTTTTGAACTCTTGTTAGCTGTCCAGGCTCACCCCATGCTTTCCCTGCCCGGGAGGGTAATCTCCCAGATTTCTGAAGGACTGTCGGACTGCCTTAGATTTAGTGAAGGATTGACGATTAGAAACCAAGGTTCTCACTGCTACCAGGGTTGCATTATCTCTCAGTCTTTCAACAGGCCTGGAGGACAGACCTGTTACAGACAGACACTACCAGTCTTTAAATATGTATCTGTCTAGGTCATGGATTTCCAATTCAAATGCACCATGGGTTTTCTTTAGCTTTGCACCATTCCACATTTGCATATCCCTCTTCTGTGCTCAGTGACATCTTCGGTTTATTCCTTTTTCTGTCTTACGATACACACAAAATAGTTTGAAGATTACACGTTAATATTGGCACCAAATCTACTGAGTTCTTTAGTTCTTTAAAAGTTCTCAGATTGCCAGGCGTGGTGACATGTGCCTTTAATCCCAGCACTCAGGAGGCAGAGACAGGCGGATCTTTTTGAGTTCTAGGACAGCCTGGTCTACATAGTGAGTTCCAGGACAGCTGGGGCTACAGGGAAACCCTGTCTCAAAAAGACGAAAAAGTTCTCAGATTATATTGAACTCAAGGGGTGCAGTTGGAGAACCATAGCCAAAATTACTTGAGCTAATTTGTTCCTGGGTTTGTGTGTGTGTG